GTATATTTAACTGTAAAATAAAGACTAAAAATACTGTAGAATGTTTAGTTTTTATAATTTTTAAACTAAAGTTTAAAAATGTAGAACACAGACGAGGCCATTTTATTTACATGCAAAGCATTCTGGGTAAATGACGATGTCACTAGGTCATCGGTGCAAGGTTGCTAGCGAGCTATATCCACCCTGAAGGTTAATCTTGGACAATATCTGACGATTGGCTCTTTTAAATGAAACCAGAGAGCGTTGACAGAGAGGAGAAGGTAGAAATGACTCAGYCTGTAACTRAAAATATAGACGGAGGACCTCAGTTTATCTTGTTTGTCACGCTAGCACTGAGCTAATACATATAAGGCAATATAGCGTCAGTGCTAGCACAAAGGCTAACAGGCTAAGCTGAGGTTCTTCTTCCATGAAGCAGCTCTGTTGTCCTCCATCCATAGTTTGTACAGTAAAGATGAAATGAAAGAAAAACTGTCTCAATGGGTGTTCAGCAGCTCAGACACTTCACAACAAATTTTACACGGGTCAAAGAAAGTTTAGTTACGTGACTGATTGATGTTTTTTACTGTTTCAAAGCAACTACAATTCAAATTTTATGATTTTGGGGATGATTTAGTACAGAAAGTAGTGATGTTTGAGACCACTGATTTCCTGTCCGATTCTGTTACTGAGTAAAACTCAGGCTAGTATCTGTGATACTGATCTGAAGCTGGTACTTTGTGCAAAAACACCTAATGTGTCCGATAAATATAAAAGGAGTAACATTTTAAATCACTGCTACATAAATAATACAAGACATCAGAGTAATTTATTTTTTCATTTTAAGCTCCTCATTTACAACACAGCTGGGCTAATAATACAACAGAAAAACAAGACACAATCATATAATACATGTGAAAATGGTGTTTTAAACAATAGAAAAAGAAGTAAAATATTAAACCATTTAAATAAATTATTGTTTAATTATCAAGAACTACAAAAAACTATAACTTGTGTTTTAATTTACATTACATGAACATGTTAACATGAAAACACTGAACATGTAACATTAACAGACTGACTGACCTGCCGCTGCACGTTACCCAGGCGGAAGAAAAAGTAGTTCCCACCAACCACGTATGATTTAAACAAGATTTTAAGAGTTTAGTTACTTTCTATTGTATTCCTGTTAATGATGAACCTTAAAGGACTGAAGTATCAGAGTATTGATATTTTGATTTTAGAGTCAATTTCAGAGCAAAGTGTTGGTCGTATTGATTTTCAGTATCAATCCACACATCACTAACAGAATTTTTCACTTGAAATGGGACCATATCTTAGCTTTTAAGCTTAACAAATTCTTATTGTTACCACAATATTTCAAACAGTTCATACAGCGGATAAAATAAGTATTGAACACGTCAACATTTTTCACAGTAAATATATTACTAGAGGTGCTAATGACATGAAATTTTCACCAGATGT